GCAGCACGATCGCCTTGCAATGCCGTGAGACGAACATCGCCAGAAGATCGCCGCAGGCCAAAGGACTCGCGAAATTGCAGGTATTAAGCCGCCCAGATCAAGTGGACGGGCGCCGCCTGTCAGTACTCCCTAGATCCAGTGAAGAACCAGGAACTCGTCAGAGCAGGCCCCATGATGCTATGAAAAGCCGCCTGCCTGGACGCCCGTAGATCGGTTGACCTCCAGGAGCTCCCCAGCACAGGAGTAAGACGCCCTCAGACGAATGGACGCCCCTGCCCAGGTCGCCGTTGACCTGACGCGACGTGTAGACGAAGACGCCGCCAAGTACCACCTGGATAAGGATTACGAGGACGACTGGACGAACCGAAGTCAAGGAGGACCTAGGCGAAACCTTCGAGGTCGTGTGGACGTCGATGACGGATGGATGCACCAAGGACCAAGATGAAGAGGCCGACAACGAGGAGATGCACGAGGACAACCGAGGCACGCGACGAGACGACCAGTTGATAGGTACGATGATAGGTCACCCTTGAAGTGATTTAGATGACCCCACGAGGACGAGGCTATGGGGTGGCCGAGCGGTATAAAGGGCGGTATAATGTGGTCCTCCACCACGTGGTGTGGGGCCTGCCCACGCTATCGCCCAAACCACGCTCTTCTAAAAATAGAGGCCACGCCGTCCACCAAGGGGTTTATAAGGTCATCCAAGCTGACCCTCACTCACTCACTCACTCACTCACTCACTCACTCACTCACTCACTCACTCACTCACTCACTCACTCTTGCTCTTGCACTGAAGCCATTCAGTGTTTCCCTGACGCCACCTGTAATTCAAATAAACTATAAAATAGAGGTGTTAGTACCTCTTGTATGAACTCGTTTTTTGTAAACCCCGCCACCTCACCTCCCTCACCGTAGAGCACCAGCTATTAAGGAAATTAGCCAAGAGCGATAGAAGTAATTCAAAATGGCTGAAAGTTTATTTCTAAGATTTTTTTAAAATCGAAGATATCTTTATTTTTAAGTAGTTATTTTTCTTTTAAGAGTTTTATAGTAAAGTAACGCATATTTAGAAAGCAGCCGTAAGAATCTTTTTCATTAAAAGAGTTTATTAAGAAACTTTATAAAAGTAAACATTCGACCTTCCTACCTGTGTTCCTTGGGACACAGGTGTATAATTAGGTGGGTCTCCCCTTTTCACGGCAGTTGCTGCAGGTTGAGGCAGGGGACACCCTAGGCCAGGCTGTCCTCCCTTTTTGTTTTAGTGGATTTTATTTTATCGATAGTGATATACTGCAGCGCGTAATGAGGTATAGTGGTCGTGAGAACAGTGTTTTTAGTGGCAAAGTATTCATTTAGATAACTATACATTTGGGCTTAGAACTGACGACTGGTGCTCTTTTATTTTTATTATTATTTTTTTTTTCTTGTGATCTCTTAAGTGTGCGGATTTTATTTTAATCTTTTTACGTACTTTTGTATTTTCAAGTTCTTTTGAACTTCCTTAAACTTAAAAATGATTTCTGTTACTTTTGCTTGCTGGTTACCTGAAAGAATTATCTATACTACAAAGACAGCCTTATCCGAAACCCTTTACATGTGGCGAAATTTCCGTGCTCGACCTCCCCACTCTGGTTACGTTTACTTGTCTTCCTGATTCATATATTCTACACTACAACACAACACATTTGAACACAATCTTTCCCTCCTTTCCACAAACCCTTCACACATGGCCTTCTCATAACCCAACACCCCGTTCCCATACATATTAACGGGTGGTGGCAGTGAGCGCTACTAATACACATTCATGTACAGTAAGGCATGGTAATATTAAGGCAATATATTAAAATAAAAGTTCAGTACGCTACAGTACCAAGTACCATACGTTTCATAATCGATTCTCACTTATATGACGTCTACTCTCAATTTTCGATATTTTATCGTTAGTACTGCTGGAATTTATGCTCCTTTAGTTTGAAGGTATTGGTGAATATGTAACTTGTAACTAACTTTTTGGACGCCACAACAGCTGCCACAAAACCGATTCAGACTAGCACACCCAGACGACCCACGACTTCCTCAAGGACGACTATGCCAACACTCCCCCATACCCACGCATTCACACCAAACACAAATCCGAAAATACAAGCCATTTTACACACAAGTTTAATCGTTACAAAATATGCCAAAAAAATCGCAAACACTGTCCCGAACATGCTACAGAAATACGGCTTCCCCAGCATTGTCGTCCCTGATGAAAGCTTCAAAGACGACAACTTATACATCCCGGAATACACCACAAACACCGAAACCATGGATAACAAGGTGACAATCACTCACCAAGAGCCTCATTGTTCCACACAACACAGACACCTCGTTTTGCAACCACAACCACAACCCAAACCCAGAGAAACCGCACAGGCACGTGATACTACAAAGAACACCGAACAGAAGCGCAAACAAACCTCGCCACTAACCACGCATAACAAAAAAGACAAGAAGGATCCCCCGATCTCTCACCCTCGTCGCCAGGGGATGGATGACACCATCTTCGGCGACGAAAGTAGCGGCTCCGAGATCGACGTTGAAGTCGTTCCCGAAGCCGAGGACGAGCTCCCTACCCCTCTGGCTGGAGCCGTTGCCGTGCTCCCCGCCAGGGGGCCTTTGGGGCAGCGCGGAAGCATTGGGAATTGGTCCGCCGATTCCCAAGACTTCCTTACCTCGAGGAAACCGACGGAACCGCTATAGGGATCAGGTGACGCCACGCAAGGTAAACCCAGGTAAAATGGGTCTACCCTGAGTGGCATGCTAACAATCGTACAAGCAAATGCAAGGTCTTTTTTCTCTATACGTAACATATTTTATGATTTTCTAGATCAAGAACACCCAGATGTAGTTTTACTGAATTCTACAGCCATCACAAATGGCTATAGAATTCGGCATTACGGTTATACATCCAGGCAAACGGGAGACGGTTTGCACATGGGGTCCTTTATTCTCATTAAATCCACCACTTTCAAATTTATCATCCTCCCATTCACTTACCCCGACCTAATGGCAGTCAGGATATTCACCCCACAGGGCCCCATTATCCTTTCCACTGCCTATGTCGACCCGAAACTAACTTGCCTCTTGCTGATTTTAACCGTTTGTTCAACATTACGAGCCTCCCAGTCTTCTTTGCCGGAGACATCAACGCCACCCACCACGCATTACACCACAGTTCTACCAACGCACATGGTTGGCGACTCCTTTCTATCTTTGATACAAAGACTTCACTCCATAGGACCGACTTCACCTCATACACGAACGTGGGAAAGGGCCGCCCTGATCTGTTTCGTGAACAGAGCGGCACTCGCCAACCACACACACCTCCAACCCGGTCCGAACCACATACCCGTCATAATTAAAATTTCCACCTCACCAATATTTAACAAAAAAAGACGATCTTTCCGGTACAAACAAGCAGCTTGGGAGACGTTTAAATCTAAATTAAGTCAAAATTTTCAGTTTAATCTTGATAGGCTCGATTCCCAAACAATAGATGGGCATTGGAATTTCATCATCGCCCACATCGTATCAACCATGCTGAGCACCATCCCCCGGTCTCAGTGCAAGAAACGCTTCTCATTTCAGCCATCTGAAAGGACAAAACGTCTACTGACTTGTTTTCGAAATCGTTTCACGCAACATTTAAACAGGTTAAATCATGTTCGATGGGACTTGCCTATCCTCAGAAGACACGTCATTGATAGTCTAGATAACAACCGACAACATCATTGGAACAATTTGGTTAAGAGTTTAACAGAGTTCGCAATCCACGGGAATTTTGGTAAAAAATATGTCAACTTAAAGGTAGCAACTTCCCCCCCTTCTACACCTCACTCACAATAACGTAAATGTTTCCAATCCCATGGATGTCATTTAAGTTTTTGAAGAACACTGGGCTAAAGTCTTCTACCCTCAGCCTCCTCATGCCCTGTTCACTCAACGAATTCAGGACATAGACACCTGGAGTCATGAGAAAAGGATAGAGACTATCCCAGAACCAATTTTCCGTATGGATAGGCTGGACGACACCTGCGAACTCACAGCCCCCATGGATTGCTTGCTTGCAATCCAGCCACCACGCTAAGCATACAATTCAAAGAAAACACACGAGTCAACTGGAAATAGTGGACACAGGCCGGGCCACTCTAGAGAAAAGGTCCGAGCGAAGCTAGTCTTTGCAAATCTAAATGAACTGAACTGAATTGTATGCCCTGAAAATCCAATACAGCCTTCAGCATTTTCGTGCCTTTTCTTGTTCTTCCCTCTGTTGTTCCTTTTGTAGGTCTGGTGTAATTACTCACCTGGAACACATCGTTATCGGATCAATACCTTAACCTATGGCACATCCGGAAAGCAGCTGGGTGATCAACTTTTACCTCTTGTATCTGTATCAGGTATTGAGGGTACTGGTGAAGAGGGCAATTATGCCGAGTATTTTTTTTTTTTTTTGCTGTCGATTCTTTTGGCAGATTGTAAAATGAATGTCTACTAGACAGTACTTAACCCTTAATAAACCTACATTAAATTCACACATTTATGGGCGGGTTCTATCTAAATACTTTGAATACTTTGGTACATCTGTGCTCAAGAGTTTGAGAACCAAGATTTTGTCCACCTGTCCACTCCCCTTAACATGTTCACTGCAGCTCCTACCCACTACCAACTATATGCCAAAAATCCTATGCTGATAGTTGCTCAGGAACTTCTCATTGGCCATCAACACCATTTTCAGTTAGGCATGTTTATAATCAACCATTCAACATATCACAAAAATCATAGCAGCTTATCCAAAGTGTGTCGACAACACATGTTCCAACCACAGGAAGAATAAAAAACCAGCGATTTAGTGTTAGTACAGGAAAACCTATTAACCCGACTATAATCATATGAGCTAATACTTTTTTTTATAATACTACAGTTATCTAAAGATATAAAAAATGCTAACCGACCTCTTGTGTCCAGATGGTGGTGATACTCGTCACGGGCACATTCACCGTTTCCCAAGAGGTCTCGTACTCAGTTAGTGTAATCCATTCTGCTTCAAATGTCGTTGTAGTGATTGTATTTGTTAGTGTATATGTTATAACCTGTAGAGTAAAGTAATGTTACTGGTAAACCACCATGAAAATAATGTAAACTGCATTATACTATATCATTTAATATTCAAGATTACGATCTTTGGACTTGCCTCGAGGTTTGTCTGAGTTATGGTGTATGCAACAGTGTCAATCCTCGCAGACATTACCGTTTTCTCCTCCGGCACAATCTGGAAGGAGGAATGTAAGTGCTGGAATGAAGTACCTACATACTGCACAAGATATAAAATACAAGTCTCAATACTAACTAAGACAATAACAGTTTTACCGATTAAAAATTACAGGCATTACTCACAATGGTTTCCGTCTTGTAAATGGGCGGCGCAGGTATTGTGACAGTAGACCGATTTATTACTGTTACAGGATATTTCAAAGTTTCAGTCACATGGACAAATGTGGTTTTCTGTAAATTCTCCCATACTGTCACCAGAGAATGGACAACCTGTGCACCTGTCCATTAGGAAGAAAGAAAGGTAATTTCCTTTGACATCTAGGATAACTTAATCATTAATTTTTCAGGATATTGGAATTGAACATCAAGCTGAAAGATCCCAAATCAAAGATTCCCTTTTATCTTGGACGCCTTAAAGCCAATGACCTGAACGTGCCTGGCAACGAACCCAGAACCTAAGCACACTTACCACTGCTTCTTCCCACACAGGCTTTATGTACAATGGGCAGATTGGTTCATTCACATACTTCTGGGTATCCATAAGGGCTCTTCCATAGGTGTTGTGTTCGGCGGGTACTAGGTAGGGGTCGATCGTTTCATCGAGATGGTCCCTGTTTGTCACCACTGCATCCAAATTGAATGGGAAGATTGCAGTGTCTAGACGCCATCACCCCCTGACTTAAAAGTGTGCCATGCTGAGGATAAGAGAATATTTATGAGAAGAATTACATGATTAACTACGAATGGTTAAGGATCATCATAACAAATTATAATCTAAAATTTGATGATTAAAATCATATACTTTATTGAATTGTGTGAATATCATTCAATGAAGACCTGTATTGAAAGGAAATAAATGCTGTAATACATCCTTGAAAAAGGCATTCATAAAATAACTAAGGCTTACATTGACGATTACTTACCGCCGCGTCCACTGTGGAAGCAAGTAGCAGCGCATTACTTTCAACCTTTACACATGTGTATATTGTAGAAATTTACAAAATCTGTAAAAGCATATCATAAGCCATAGTAGCTTGTTATACTATTCCTTATTTTACCACGGTGTTTATTTCCTCATCGTTTACCCGTTACTTGTTCGACTATGAATTCAGTATATTAAAAATCCAATAATATATAAATATAAATTGCCGTGACTAGGCGTACCTGAGGGGAGGGTTGATGGGGGGCAAGCCCCCCAACAACCCCCCCCCCGAGACATTCTCTCCACCTCGGTATGCATGGCAAGAGAGCTGCATTCACACAGTAAAATAAACAAAATACCTTTATATTTGCAACCGTCAAACTTTCGTTCGCTTCCTTCTACCGTCTAGATTGCTTCGATTTTAATCACTTTTTTCTGCATTTGGAGCTCTTGGTGGACCCACAT